CATGATGACAAAGATAGTCCCAACAAAAGTTTGGTTAGAATTTGTGGATTGGTTATTCACGTAATCTGTCACGGAAATCTTTAGATTCCATTTCTTTTAGATGTTCCGTTTCACCAGTCCCAACGTGGGCGCCAATTTGTGACAGGGGTTTATGATGCAATAAAAACACCTGCGGGTTCGATCATGTATTTATTCCATATTCAATCATCATAAAAGTATTTGCAGTCCTGAAAATACAATACATATTCCATTCACAATACAACAATAGTATTTTCACATTATAACAAATCATAAAACATCATTACATCACATTTGGGGAATTCAAGAGTTATTCCCCTTGATTCAGAGTTTTATAAAATGCAATGAAATACATGTATAACTGATATTAAACATGCATATAGACAATAGTTTATATTGACATTATAATAAATTTCATATTTACAATTCTCACAATAAAATAGTTAACCTGGATTGTATTTCAAAATATATAAATTTGTACCTATTTGTGGAATAGAGCTGACTCCTTCTTTTGATGTCAAACATAGTACAAGTGCAGCTTTTTTCAAAAAGCTTACCGTCTTTAGCAACAACCTTAAACAGGAAACTGACCTAAACCTATCAGGCCTTATAATTCTTGAAAAAATTTCTTGGCTTTGTATTTCTTCATCAGTCTTTTCTGATATAAGCCCAACCAAGTGAAAAGTTAACAGATGCTCGACTGTCTCCGTAAACTTCAACTCTGCTGCCGAGATCATTCGGCAAACCTCGGCTGATTCCGTCACCTTTGTGATATGTAGATGAGGTACCTGTACGAATCAGCCGAGGTGTTGCCGGGTGCTGCCGAGATTAGGAAGACACTGCAAAACAAAGGGGAAAAGAATACATACAAGCTGTAAAGCTTGCATGCAATAAAGATCAATTCTGTTAACAATAAAAATATAGAAACGGTTTTTTTTTGGTAATTGCTATAAAAAAAAAAAACTAACATGTTAATTACTGTCAATTTCCACTGTTCGTTTTGTCATATTTTTTTTACGATTGAAAATATTGAATAATTGTGAAGTCGTTCGAAAATTAGAGCATCAGAAAATTATCTCCCTTGCCTTGAACAGCATTTCAACCAATGAAATAATTGAAAATTTTCTCATCGTGCATTTTCTACCAATCACAAAAGAGAGGAAGCGCATAGTCCGAAAACTGTAAAATACTTCAACTCTGTATACCGTCTTCCAAGGAAGACGGTAATTTAGGGTTTGACACTAAGGCACGTCCGACCGACCCAGTCTAGTAAATGGGTGTTCCGGTCGTGTAAAATGTACTTGAACTAGACCGCCTGGTCGTGTGGATGAAATTACTATTAACCCCCATATCAGTCTTTCAAATAAATATTCTTTACACAATTTCAAGTTTTTTTTAATTGTAAACAGGTTAAATCCCCCATATGACATGTGCAATCGCTATTTTTAGCCACGATCTAATAGACAAGTCGCAGTCGAAACTGGCTTCGTTCAGTATTAACTGGTATAAATGGTTAGTGATAAATGTAATTTTTAATCAATTTAATAATTTGAATACATATTTTCATCATTTTCAATATAAAGACCACCTTTAACCAAAATTACCTAAATGTAATGAAGTGCAGTCATATCCACATAAAATTATTCAAAAGTTGTTTTTCTGGTTAAGGGTGGTCTTTGGCAACAGTTGTCATCTTTAGGTGGATACCTCAATATTTGCTATACACTCCATACAAACTGGATAATTTTCATATTTATCATATGAAGGAACTATTAATATTGAAATACCATTATTGTGTTGTTTTGTTTTACGTATGTATAAACTAATATTGTATGACAAAATTTTGGTTAAACAATCAATTTAAGAAATCACTAGTAGAGTAGGTGATAATGCCTATCAAATGCGCTATGGCTCTTTCTCTTTTATGAACGATCACGCACGTTACACGACCGATTCCACACGATCGGTTTGTCGTCAATAAGTTGCAGCCATTGTATGTACATTAAATATTATTTAAATACCATGAGAGGGCAAACTTTCGAATAATTTCTGTAAACAGTTTTATGTTAACCATTCAATATATTTTCTAAATCGAAGAAATAGTATCCGTTTTCTGTTGATAAGACGCGTGTTGACGACTGACAAACGCATCAACATATAGGAAAATCATCACTGTAGGGGACAGAACCATGACAACAAAATAAATTAATGCTTTAGCGTGCAGAAATAGGGTATCTTTTCCAAATGGAGGGCCTCTATGTGTCAGTGCCTACTACACTTCTATTTTTCACTATCACCAATCTTAAGTTCAAAACATTGCTCCGGCATGATGAAGTCAGAGTAAACCCAGCAAAGCCTCCTCAATCAGGCCGTTCTGCTCATTTACATGATGTATTTTTGTGTACAGTATGTAATGTTTATGACTATCAAGGCTACCTGACCATTTTAATCTTTAAAAATATATATTTTGTTTTATACATGTACAATAAAAATTCATGTATAATTCTTTCAATCAATATACAAATGAATTATTGAACAATTATTTTGGTTGATATTATTGTATTGAACTAATCCGGAATTTTCATTTCCGTCAACTTATATCATCAATTAGTTTATGTTAACTCAGTTCCTGTAGCAGAAAATCGTGCATCATGAACACTGAGTGACTGACTATGATGACGGAAAGAATGATGTTAAAATTATACCCGTCAATGTGTAAGTTAAAATTATATTTGATATTTATTGTAATAGTATTTAATAATATACTGTCCAGAGTTCTTATAAAATTTATATTTAATGGATGTATGTTTATCACAGGTTGAAATCTGTAAATGATTACTGCTTGACGGTTTGTTTGATTACAATATTTCAACACACGGGAAGATGGCTGACGGACAAGAGAAAGTGGCAGATAACATGGAACTCCTCAGAAATCACCAATAGCATTGATCAAGGAAAGAAGAAGATCAACACTGAAAGGAAAGTTTCACAGAATTTATAATAGATTTGAAGATTTGAAAAGTTCAGAAAGTTTAGAATTACTCAAGAACATCTTGTCTGATATGGAAAACTCGTACAAAGAACTCGAAAACGGACATGCTGAGTACACAGAATTGTTAAATCCAGAAAATGAGCAAGATCTCATTGACATGAATAATATAGATAAAGATATGGGCATATTGTATAATGAACTGTGTAATTGTCGTGCACATGTTAGTAGGCAGTCACTGCTGCAGTGTAAAGACAAACAATCTAAATCAGAAAAGGACAAACAAAAAGAGAGTGTGAAAGTAAAGAAATTAGATGCACCAATATTTAGTGGTGAAATTAGAGAATTTCCAAGTTCAAGAGAGATTATGAAAGCATTATGTTTCCAACATATGGAACCGATCCATTTGCATTAAAGAAGAGTCTCACAAATGAAGCTCTTAAAACTGTGCAGGGTGTAGATAACAATTATGAAGAGATGTGGAAAAGACTAGAACTGAAATATGGCAGACCTGAAAGACTTACCGACTCAATACTTTCTGACATTCGAAAACTCAAAAGTATTCCTGATGGGGATCATCTGTGTTTTATTAACAGTGTTGAAATCATAGAAAGATGTTTCTTAGATCTAAAAAGGGTAAACATGGAAAGAGAAATGAATACTACAACTATGATAAGTGAAATCGAGAAAAATTCTTCCTCCAGTTCAGAAACGCGAATGGATCCTTACAGAATAAAGGCACATAACCTCTGTTGGTATCACGAGACAGATATCGCATGAAATTACTCAGTGTTGAACATTTAATAGAATGGATGTCAACAGTAAAATCGACTGTCTCAGAAAAAATGGAGCTTGTTTTATATGCTTAAATCTTGGACACATTTCCAAAAACTGTCCGAATAGAGAAGGATGTGAGCAATGTGGCAAAATGCATCATACAACCTTACATCAAGAGGAATCTCAAGGCAAAGTCAAACATTGTCTACACTTAGTGAATGGTGAACAATCTGGAGAAACTGTTGTGCTAATGGTTAATCAAGTGATGTGCAAAGATGACAAACTATTTACACTTTGGGATCCGGGATCAAATGTATCATTGATATCCCATAGAGCTGCAAAACGTCTCAATGTTAAAGGAGAGGATGTTACACTTCGTATATCAAAAGTTGGAAATATAGTTGAACACCTCCACTAAAGAGTATATTGTACTCTTGACAGACTTGAATGGTGAAACATGGCAAATAAAGGCCTGCGGTATGGAAAAGATAACAACAAATTCAAAACCTGTAGATTTTAGTGGAATATCAACCTTATTCAAAGGAATATCAGACAGTGACCTATCTAGAACAGATGGTGATATTGAAATATTGATTAGTGCAGACTGCAGTATTCTATTACCAGTGAATATCGGAAGCACTGGAAATCTTCAGCTAATGAAAAACCAGTTTGGCTACTGCTTGAGAGGAAGTCATTCCATGTTGAAATTGACAGCTACACCTAAAGATGCATGCATAAACCATCTTCCTGGGATTGATATAAACTCCATGCAGGTGATTGATACAAAATCAATAAAGGATCATTTTGACAGCATTGTGGATATTGAGATTCTAGGGCCATATTGTAACCCAAAGTGTGGAAGTTGTCGCAGGTGATTGATACAAAATCAATAAAGGATCATTTTGACAGCATTGTGGATATTGAGATTCTAGGGCCATATTGTAACCCAAAGTGTGGAAGTTGTCGATGTGGCCAGTGTAGCATTGGAAATGGAAGGTATACCATACAAGAAGAGCACGAATTACGTGTGATAGAAGCAGGATTGAAATATGATGCAGTTGAAAAGTGCTGGACTGTACAATATCCATGGAAATGTGATCCCATCAAATTACCAAATAATATTAAAACAGCATTAGGTCGATTGAGATAAGTTGAACAGAGACTCCTCAACAATGGCAAGGAATATGCTCAAGAATATCAGACACAAACAGAGGATATGATACACAGGGAAGCAGGAAGAAAACTGACAAACACAGAAGAAGAGTTATATGAAGGACCTGTTTACTATATCTCGCACCACGAAGTTTTAAAACCTGGATCCAAGTCAACACCTCTTCGCATTGTCTTCAATTCGTCAGCTTCATTTATTGGTCACGTTCTCAACAGTTACTGGATGAAAGGACCGAAAGTACTCAATGATCTCATTTCGGTACTTCTGAAGTTTCGTGAAAATCAAAGTACACTTGTGGGAGATATATCAAAAATGTATAACTCTGTACGCTTATCAACAAAGGATCAACATACACACAGATTCTTGTGGAGAAATTACGAAACCAACAGACAGCCTGATCATTACACACTTACAAGTGTTCCCTTTGGAGACCGTCCAAGTGGTGCCATTGCTATGATAGCATTGAGAAAAACAGCTGCATTGTTAGAGAATGAATATCCCAGAGTCGCAGATGTTATCAAAAACATAGCTATTTGGATGACATTGTTACCTAAGAACCAAGTGTAGAAGATGCATGTCGACTAGCACGAGATATTGATCATATACTTGGAAATGGTGGACTTTATATAAAAACATTGGATCATCTCTGGAAATCAGGATAAAGTTGCAGATGGAATTAAATTGTTGAATACAGAGACAGAGAAGATTTTAGGATTGATATGGAGACCACAAGATGATGTTTTTACTTTCAAAGTCCAACTGGATTTTACAGACAAGGGAAAGCAGAAAGGAAGTATATCCAGTATAACATCTTGTAATGTGTCAGAATTATCAAATTTGACTACACTCACTAAACGCATGGAGTTGAAACAAGTAGCGGGAGTATGTTACCCACTTGGTATGGTTGTACCATATATACTTACTGCAAAATCCTTAATGAGAACTCTCTGTCAAGAAAGTCTAAATAGCAGTAAGGATTGGGACAAACCTTTATCCAAAGATATGAAACAATATTGAATTGAATTCTTCAAAGGTCTCTTTGATCTTGAACTTCTGAAGATACCCCGATGCATTAAACCAGGAACTGTTCATGGAAAACAAATACTGATATTATTCTCTGATGGCAGCAGCCTAGCATTTGGAACCTGTGCATATATTAGATGGGAGGTTGCATGGGATACGTTTTTTGCGAGAATGTTGATGGCAAAAAATCGCATTGCTCCCTCAAATCAACTTAACCATTCCCCGACTAGAACTATGTGGTGCTGTGTTATCTGCTCGACTGCGGGAGAAGATTGTGAATAGTTTGGGATTTTCCTTTGAAAAAATCATTCATCTTGTGGATTCTGCCATAGTAAGAGCACAGATACAAAAGGAGAGCTATGGATTTGGAACATTTGTTGCCAACAGAATAGCAGAAATCCAGTCAAAAACTTGTAAATCAGACTGGTACTGGATACCATCATATCAGAATCCAGCAGATTTCACAACTAGAATAACATCACCAAGTGTTATTGACAGCGATTCGATGTGGCAGAAGGGTCCAGAATTTCTGTACCAACCTTTTGAAAAATGGCCTGTGAAACAAGAAGTTGAAGTAAAGGAGATTCCTGATGTTCTTGTCCGACACACAGAAGTCAAAGTAACTGAAGAAAAAAGCAGAACTGTCATGAATGTGGCAAAACTTATTGACCTCAATAGAATCTCAACGTTACAGAAGATCCTTAAGCTCACAAGTCTTTTACAACTCATCAGAAAGAAGCATACAATCCGGGGAATTGTACATTGTTTATTAGCAGAGGAATTAAGAGATGCAGAAAATATTTGGATTCTTCATGTGCAAGAGGATCTTCCTGATGACGTAATGTATAGATTTAAACGACTCAGACCACATCTTACACCAGACGGAATCATAAGAGTGGGTCAAAGAATGAATAAATGGACAGAAGATAATTGGAACATGACAGCATTTGCACTTATTCCATCAAGCCACCCATTTGCTGAGTTCATTGTGAAAGCATTTTACGAGAGAGACCATGCAGGACTTGACGTCACACTCGCTAAGATACGAAGCATGGCCGCGACTGACCTTAGTCGATAAAAAATAGGTAGCAACTGTTCTTTTGCCAAGCGCTCGGTATTTTGAATTGAAAGATGCGGGTCATACGGATGAGACCTTAAAAGCCGAACCCCGTGTCACGGTAGGCGTTGGAACGATAAAGAACCGTTACTGCTCAGTGGCCCTGAGTGCCGAGTAAAGGTCTAAATTTGAAGCCCTTCAACGATATATGACGACGTCTCTATATGAGTGAAAAATTCCCGAACGGGACGTAAAACAACAATCAATCAATCAATCTAATCTTTTTCACTCATATTGAGACGACACCAATTGCGGGTGGATAGCTGAAAATTTAAGATCCATACTCGACAATGAGGGTCATGGAGCAGTAAGGGGTCTTTTTCATGCCATAAATGGCAAACTAACAAAACTTGTTATAAACGTGATGATTTTATCTTTTCTATCAGTAACTTCCCTCATTAATGTAGCATTTATGTCTCCCAGTTGATTCGATATGCAAGAGCATGCTCTACATGGAATGTATGGAGATAACGAACAGTATTCGAGCTCAAAAGTCCATTAAACAATACAAATTTGAAAGCAGAGCAAACACGGACCTCTAAAACATCAGAGGTGGGATCAGGTGCCATGGAGGAGTGAGCATCCCCTGCCGACCGGTCACACCCGCTGTGTGCTCCTTGTCATGATCGTGTAATAACGGAAGAATCCGTTGACAATTCAGTGTGAAAATAATGGCTAACAATTAGGCCATTCCAAGTTTTTTCTATGTTTAGCGTCCGCGTGCGCCTAGGTTTTAACACGCAATATCAGAAAAACAAAACAAGAACAGGATTCCTGAAACTGATTATTCTGGTCAAAATCTTTGAATTCTGTCAATTTCTCTAAATATTTGTCTATAATATGTCATGTTAGGTAAACTTTAAGTATTTAATATCCTGAATTTGCTTAAGAATAGATCTATTAGAAAAATAGATTAATGAAGTCAAATCCTTTGATTGACCCCATTTTTACGATTATAAATTCATTGTTTTATTTTTTGGTTTGTGTGTATTTTTTTGCGAATAGGTAGGTAGGCTTTTGAAAGATGGGTGGAAGCTAAACAGAGAAAAAACTTGGAATGGCCTTAGGATGCAAAACGTCAGTCAGCATTTGACTTAATGATAAATTGTATTTGCTGACAAGGTCATTGTATCGATCACAGAACTTACAAAATGACGACTTTAAACGAGACTGCTGATATTCTTGTTTCATCAACTTGTTTGTCAATAACTTACATGTACCTCGTTTTAGAAATTGTTCATACGTAGAGCATGCTCTTGCGTATCGAATCAATTGAAAAATATAAACCCCATATGTAGGTGATGAAGGTATATTGGTGCATAAGTAAGGGAAGTTGACGATTGAAAAGTTAAAGTCATCACGTTTATCATAAAGCTTGGTTGTTAGATTACTATTAACGTCTTTCTCTAGTAAAATATCCAAATATGAAACAGATGTGTCAGACTCTGTGGTATCTTTTATTTCAAGCTCACCGGGATATATCGTAAAGACATACGAATGGAAATAACCATTGTTAATTGACAGTACGTCGTCGATATACCTAAACGTCGAGTTGAAAACCACAACACGTTTTCTTCCTTTCACTTACAAGATTTTGAACAAATTCTGTTTTATATGAATACAACAAGCATTCTGAGAGTATTGCATTAGCAATACTAGTCCCCTACCGGCAAGTGTAAATTGGTTCCCGTTAAAAATTGAAAATACCATAATTCCGTCAAAAATCAATGACGCGGAACGATATGCAAACTTGATCTGTAACTCATCAAGATACACTCACATACCAAAAATCAGCTCAATATCTGCAAGCGTTTAGAAAAAAGTGCGGAAAACCAAGTGGGACAGACAGAGAGACAGACTCAGAGGAAACCTGTAGTCCCCTCCGGTTTCACCGGCAGGGGACTAAAAATAGGTATGCTAATAATGGGGCGCAATTGGTACCCATGGGAATTCCAATAGATTGTTGGAAGGCCTGGTCTCCAAAAACCATATAGATATTGTCAATCAGAAACTCAAGCAACTTAATATCAACTTCAGGTTACCTGTGTGTACAATCGGAATGTTTTTAACAAATGACCAATGACCAGGTAAGTTAAATTACCTTATAGAATTTAGAGGCCTGTATTTGCTCTGCACCAAAGAAGTATTATTCCAATGGACTTTTGACCTCGAGTACTGTTCGTTTTTCTTTATAAATGTATATGTTTATTTTTATGAGGGTTATTCAGTTCTTTTTGGTTGCAGTTACTCTACATTCCTAAATATATGCGAGGAATAAATTACCGCGTAATTTCAAAAGAATTACCAATCGCGAAATAAAATCACTCGCTTTCCATTTTATAGTGTTGAAATTAATGTTATATCTCTTGATCAACCGCCCACTCGCGAATTGACGTCAAAGAGCCACTTTGCGATAACAAGTTCTCGCGTAATAACGAGGAATTTACAGTCTTTCAGTTTATTACATATATTGACAGAATATGTAAGCTTGAATTGGTGTTTTGACAAATATCAAGAAAGTGTCAATTTTGAATACAATGCTTACACTTCAAAGTACAAAAAAAAAACAAATGGACTCTCAGCTGCAGGGCACGGTTCATGAAAAAGTCTTGCCCTTTCTCTTGCAAGATTTTAAGTTTTGATTAATAACACTTGAGCTGCATTTACCCAAATAGTAATGATAACTTTTTTAAGACATTGGAAATAATTATAATTCGTTGAAGAATCTTCAAACGTAACTTAAAACCTTTACGACATAAGAATTATATGTTGTGTGATCTCTTATACACCCTGTTTTAAGTTACTTAAATTTGTCTTTCTGTCAAATTTTCCTTTCTTAAGTTAGGTGTCAGTTGCCCTTCCTGCGATAATAATCTTAACTGCGTTTGGCCTAACACTTGCAAGATGACAGAGAACTGCTTAGTGCGACAGATATCAGGATACCCATTTTCAACTCACTGTGCTGATGCAAGTATTTCTCACAGGATTTATGCTTTCCACATCAATGATAAATATTTTGTAAACAAAAATTTTTTTTCCCTGCAAATTAAGTATAATTTTCCAAAATTTTGATTTACAGAAAGTAGACTGCTCACTAATGAAGCAAAATGTACCAGATGGAGAAATATTTTGCTGTGATGACGATTCTTGTCTACACAATATTTTAGGAGTGTGAGATGATGTAACCAAAAATCGCATAAAAGAGAATAAAATGTTCGAGTACTAATTGTCTGCGTTCAACCAATTAATCTTTAACAAAAGGCCACTTGCCTTTGGGTCACGAGCATTTTCTCTATTTTTTCCAGTTCACTAGAGCTAAATGCTCACAGGACTTCTCTGACGGATTCTAATTGTCAAGTCTGTCCATGAACTTATAATCAAAACTACTGTGTCATGCAATTTCAATTACATCTAGAGTATCCTTAAAAAGGAATCAAACATTGTACAAATGTGGGACAGTGCCCCCTTATGAGGGGAAATCATCATGCTCAGGCAAATATTGAACGAGTCATTTTGAAATCTGCTTAAGAACGAATAGGCTATAAGTTATGGAATTCATGCGTAATTTCCTAATATAATCTAGATTCAGGAATGTTTGGGTCACCTGAGTCCTTATTTGTCCGTATTTTGTGTTCGTAAACTTTTGGACCTTTTCAGTCTTTCTCTGGAGCCGCTGAACTAATATTGGCATATGGCATTTATGGGTAGAGACACAAAAATTGTAAATTTTATAGTCCCCCTCTCCGGGGCCTGAGAGGAACCATCAAAATTTATGTAATTTTTAAAATCTTTTTTTAAAGTCCCGAACTCTAAGCTTTCTTAGTGTTAGCATGAGCATTTTATCAAATTTAAGGCCCCTGTATCAGGGGTTCTGTTGGTGCTTTATTGATCATATATAGTGAAAAATGCACCAGTTATACTGAAACGCAAAAGAAACGCAACAAGCAGTAATCTACAAATGTTTGAATTTTTTATCTAATGATTACCATAAATGAATACACATGACTGTTAAACCCCCCCCCCCCCCAACCCGGCCATTCAATTACAGCGTGCAAGTCTGACATGCATAACAGTTGCAGCTTGATTTCTACGATGCAATATGTTAATCGATCTCGAGATCTGGGCGAAAGAAATATTCTTTGCCATTTTTAAATGTCTGTTTTTCAGATGATGAGGTCGAATTTCTCTAGCCAAGCGCAGTGTAGTAACCCTTGGACTTCCGGTCCAAGGACTGTCATTAATGCTAATGATACTTAAGAGCCTACTGAGGCGTGATGTGGGTCATATTTGCATCTGCAGCTCTCCATCACGTTTATTTTGAGATTTTCTAGCCAGAGCAATGGAAATGCGTACTTAAGTCATTTTCAGGAAGCCTTGGCATCACTTACAGAAAAGGAAGGGGAATTTATTTTTCGGAACATTGCTGCATTGCTTGTGATGAACAGATACAAATCCTTAAAACCCCATATTATTGCCAAATGTTTTGGTAAACATGCAATTTTTGATTTCTATTAAGCAGACTCAAACTTAACTTCCGATAATTGTATGAAAATCATTCAACCGTTAAATTACCGATATTTACAAAGTTGAAGATGTCCTTACATTTTAGATACAAAATTATATCCTATATGTAATATTTCCCCCTAAAATATGATGTTGCGTTTCTTTTGCGTTTCAGTATATTTAGAAATATTTTCTTCCTCTACATGTATATATTGTAAACTAAGTGCAAAGTTAGAATGGGCAAATAAATTGTGAAATTCATTGCCCCTGTATCATGTGTTCTGGTGTCCAGGCTATGCCCTAATGGTCATGTAATGAAAATGCATCAATTCTTTGAAAATCGTCTCTGTTCCTGGGCATCTTACAGCCTAACCAAGACACAGCTGGAAGCAAGGATAGTTTTACCATATTCCTGAAATTCATCCCCCTAGGTCAAGGGTTCTGTTTCTAGGGCAAGGCTCAAACTTCAACAGCTTTTACAAATATTTCTCAGCACATTGCGAATCTGAAATAAATCTGCTTACTTCAAATTAAATGAAATATCGCAGTTATTGAAAATGGGACGATTAGGGGAGATTTCACGCAAAACATTGGTACATCCTAAATCAAGCTTTGAATATTTCCATTTTGAATTTCTTGAATTCGCAGTTTTCCACATTATCCATTTTTCGATCACGCTTCTGGTCGTCACGGTAGCGCAGTCGGTAGAGTACTCGCTCCGTTATCGGAAGGTCGTGTGTTCGAATCACGGTCCCAACTGATCTAAGTCGATCAAAAATAGTAGCTACTGTTCCTTCGCCAAGCGCTAAGCACTTTGAAGTGAAATCGAAAGTTTCGGGTCCTTTGGATGAGACCTTAATGTAATAGTAGGCGTTGGCGCGATAAAGAACCCTCATTGCTCAATTGACCTGAGTGCCGGGTAAAGGTCTAAATTTGAAGCCCTTCATCATTATATGGTGACGTCTCTATATGAGTGAAAAATGCTCGAACGGGACGTAAAACAACATACAATCAATTGATCATGCACGCTTCTGTGAGTTTGTCTCTGAGCGACCTGTGGGAGGCGGATCTAGAACAACAGCTACCTTTTGTTGGATACTTGCGGAAGACTGCTTTTACTGGCGCACACTTTTGTCAGGTCTGTGTCCCATTCTTGCTTTGTGTCCTGTTCGTCAACGACATTCATATAAAGTTGTGTAGCACAACTTCTTTTTCCACTGTGATTTGTGTAATCAACCTTAAGACCACCACGCTCACAAATAATCTTCATAAGATTCTTCAACTTATTGATATAAATCGGTTGTTCTCCGTAACGAATAGGTATGAATAGGTGGCATTTGTAAACTGCGCTCCGTCCCCCTAATGCCTAGATGTACTCTCTGAAGAAATGGGCCACATTCCGTCGTCTGCAATTAGAAGTTTTAAAAAATTGTCTTCTTGAAACTACTGAAGTCAGATATAGTACTTGGAATGTTTGGAGACCACCTCATTTAACAGCAAATTTGTGAAATGTTTTAGATCTAAAGGAGAGAGAGAGGGAGATTAACCTTACCATCCTGGCAATAATGACGAATATTTTTGTTCGTAATCCCCAGCTCCTTGAGTCCTCATTTGTACTACTTTGTGCTAAGACCGAAGAACTTAAAGTAATTTCCACCTTTATCCTCTTCAATTGAGTACTGATCAAACTGCATGCGCAGTTGGTGATACTCGTAGTTTCCCGTCAGGACAGAAAGCTTACATGCATAAAAGAACACAGTACTTTGTAATGCCTCCGCATTTGAGTTACCAAAGACGCCTTTCTCCCAAAAATACTTTATCGTCTTCAGGTAAAATGGCCTGTGCCTGCTTGACCTTTAATTAAATTGAAGAAATGAAAAAAAAGGGTCACTAGGATAAATACGAGAATAGATTATTCTTTAGGGGACGACCATTTGATTCTCAAAAAGGGGGGGGGGGGGCTGGCAAAATTTTTCTAGTCAGACAGATTATTTTCCTGCCAATCAAGGACAGATTAATCATTCTTAAGATGTTCAAGGATAGATTATTAATTTTTCTCCACTGAAAGTTTGACAAGCAAATAAAAAACACGAACATTTCGAAGAAGGAAGGGCATATTGCTTTCCTGCTGTCTGTCGGTCCACCAACAGTTTCCGTTCATGTTCTTTGCAGGGGTTGCATATACTGTAATGAAATTTGGTATACAGATTTATCATAAAAATTTCTAGGACAATTTCTGTTTTGGGTACGGTCGAGGAAACATAGTTATGCCCCTTGGACTTAGGGAGGGGGGCAAAATTTGTTTCACAAACATCTCTTGTTTATTTCCAAAATCTTCCACCCTCCCCCTACCTCTTTGGAATCAAATGATCGTCCTCTTGCAGACGCACTCCATTAAAATAAATTAAAAATTTTCTCGACAGATTCTATTAACAAGTATATTTAAAACTAACTGCAAATTGAAAGAAAAATAGAGTCAGCTTTATACAATCGTACATCACCCATATCAAAAAAAAGGCGAGGATACAAGACAAAAATTGAAACCGTATTATCAAAATTTGATATTGCATTAATTTCAAATATCAAAATATTTAAAATAAATAAATTACCAGCTTTATCCTAGCTTCAAGACCTTGAGTCCGCGTAAATCTAGATCACTAGCCTATTGTACATCTTTCCTTGGTACATGTACGAAATCCCATTTGTAGAAGCTCCTTCAATTTTGCGTCAAGTATTTTTCGGAATTCTGAAAACTCCAAAGCTTTGGTGCACAGGAAATTTTTGTCATACACTTTCTTGTCTCTCACATGTCGTTAAAGGCCGCAGGAAATGAGGTACATAGTGAGCGAAGGGGGCACGGCTGTCCATCCCGTTTTCTTATTTCAACGATGAATCGTCTAAGATAGTAAAATAAAATCATTTCTTCACAATTTCGCCAGAATCATCTGTATGTGAGCGTCAAGACTCAAAAACCCGGAACGCCCAGGCTGTGTTCTTCTTAGTATTGCGATTTTCATGAGACTCTATTAAATCTTTAATTTCAGTCTCTGACAGGGGTGTAATAAAACGGTCACTTGCCGCAGATTCCGTCACAAAAGGCTTCGAATCAGGAACATCCAGGTCAAAGTTACCAGTATTTGCGTAATACATTCCGATGAATTAATATCAATGTGGTCCGGCGTGGTTATTCATGCATTGTCGGAGACATAGACAACTTAGGAAAGCCTTTTCCTTTTCTAATTGTTTGCAGACTTGGGACAAAGTAAGTCAACAATATCCGATTGAAAAATGTCGAATGTGTCTGGTAATTCTTCTGTTGCAAGACGCTCATTAACGTCAGTCTTGTCACTCAGAATCATTGCGCGGAAATGTTGGGCGCGAAAGGAGTTTGACAATCTTTGGAAATTAAAAAAAGGGTCATGTGACCAATGATTGAACATGGTACAAGTTTCTTATTGTACAATTATTTCGGGTATCACGAGATATTCTGATGGATGGTGACGAGTTCGCGCTAGCGAACGAGTTCACATCCATCATAATTGTTGTAATCAAACAAACCGTCAAGCAGTAATCATTTATTGATTTCAACCTGTGATAAACATACATCCATTAAATATAAATTTTTAAAGAACTTTGGACAATATATTATTAAATACTATTACAATAAATATCAAATATAATTTTAACTTGCACATTGACGGGTATAATTTTAACATCATTCTTTCAGTCATCGTAGTCAGTCACACAGTGTTCATGATGCACGATTTTCTGCTACCGGAACTGAGTTAACAAACTAATTGATGACGGAAATGAAAATTCCGGATTAGTTCACTACACTCCCCCCCCCCACTAATATCATAATCATTTTTGTTCTTCAACTGGTAGGACAATGACCAAACGACGGACAGATCTACACACAATAGAATATTGACATCCGTGATAAGCATGTCCTGTGCTAATATTCTTTTATCTTATTTTTACGTCTCGAGCTTTACCATCTGCACCAGGAATAGCTTTACAGATCTGGGCTAATTTCCATTGTCCGCGTATGTTATTTGAGTCCTGAACGAGAACTACATCTCCGACCTGAACATTGCGATTCTCTGTGTGCCACTTTTGTCTAACAAGAAGAGTATGAAAATAATCCCTCATCCATTTTTTCCAAAATGTATCAATGACACGTTGAACGAATTTCCATCTTACTGGAGGGTCTAAACATGTGTTCCAGGTTCTGCTGGGACTCGTGAACTTGCACGTCCAAGCAATAAATCATTAGGACAAAGGGAAGTGCCTTCTTCGGGATCACAGTTTTTGGTTCCAATTGGACGCTCATTGAGAAGGTTTCCAAGTTCAAAAAGGACTGTTTGAAGTTCTGAAAAAGTCATCACTGAAGCTCCAATAGCAGATTCTAAGCAGATTTTTGTTGATCTGATGAGGGATTCACTGCATCCATTTTCCCATGGAACATCTGCTGATTTGGTTGTTTCCCAGTCCATACCCTCCTGTTTTCCAAAATTCTTAATTTCGCTCCAATCCCATGAATGCATAATGGTCCTTAACTCCTTTCCTGTAGCAACAAGTTGTGATCCAGTGTCTGATATCATTTTTCTGGGATAGCCACGAATCGACACAAATCTGCGTAGAACCATAATAAAACTTCCAGTATCATAACCCTCTGTAAGATCAATGTATACAGCTCTAGATACTAAACAACTGAAAAGTACTCCATATCCTTTCCCATGTGTTCCTTTCTTCACAGTGTCCCTGATAATGAGTGGTCCAAATAAATCCACTGCACAAAAATAGAAAGCAGGTGCTGGTTTCAGTCTGATATCAGGAAGCTGTCCCATTTGTTGAGATTCTGTAACTTTAAACGTTTTCCGGCAAACCACACATTTTGATTTTACACGTTTTATGATGTTCTTAACCTTTAGCATCCAGTATGTGCGAACGTGGTAGCGGAAGCAACTCATACCACCAAGGACGGCTTTAAAGCAGAAACAGACCCTGATCCGACGGAGGAAAGAAACACCATACCATCAGAAATAGTAGAGAAACGAAAAAGAACTCTGACAGAACAAGGTAAAGAACTTTAAGAAACTCAAAAATCTATTTAATATGGAGTGAAATAGAGAACATTCCCAGTGAAATTGAAAACATTAGTCATAATACAAAAGCATTGCGTGCTCTGGGTTCCAGTCTCGACTATCTTGGAGATAGATATGAGAAAGAGTGTGTTATTTTGTGAATATCTTACCCGAACAAATACATTAGAAAGCCAGCAGGAGTTGGACTCCCACAGGGCTAACTTTGACAAAGGAAAACGTATTATTCAGGAATTAAGGAAAAGAATTAGGGATACTCGTATGGAAGCAACAGAAACTGCCTCACGGAGGTCCGCTTTATCAAGGACGGCGTCACCCCATGTCGATTCAATTTTATTCAAGAAACGTGTGGAAGCAGAGACGCAACGTGCTAACTTTCTATTCCGAGAGAAGGAACTTGCGATCCTCAAAGAAAAAGCATCACTAAAGGAATATGAAGCAAAACAACACGCTGAAAGTGAACGTAAGAAAGCAGAGCTGGAGGCTACTCACCACCTATTAGAAGAAAAAAGAACAGCAGCACTCGTAGAAGCAGAAGTGAAAGCAATAGAGAACTTTGAGTCGAACAGTAGACAAGGGTCTGTTATACCATCAGATATTGATGCACCGATAAATCGCAAACAGTATACTGCTCGATACATCAGTGAACACAGTGATAATAGTATCGCTACTAACCAGTTTTCAAATTGTGATAATGGTTCCATAGATCCTGAGATTAATCAAGACATACCACATAAGAAGGAGACTCAGTCTAAACTGAACCCTATGGCGAAAGAATTTGTAAGTCAACATGTGAAAAATTCTGAAGACCAGACTGTGGTAAGTGACCTTACAAGATTTCTACTCAAGTAGGATTTGTTATTCTCAAGATTTTCGCAATACAGTGATAAACCAGAAACATTTGTCATATGGAAAGCCAGTTTCAAGAGTATAACAGAGGAACTGAGAGTTACACCATTTGAAGAAATGGACTTACTATAGTAAAGTTCTTAGGACTACAATCCTCAAAATTTGCAGCCAGCATCAGAGCAGCAAATACAGCATACCCAGAACGAGGCCTTTTTAGGATATGGAAAAGACTCCAAGAGCGTTATGGAAGCCCTGAAATAGTAGAACACGCTTTAAAGAAAAAACTCAGAGACTTTCCCAGAATTAGTAACAAAGACAATAAGCGTTTGTATGAATTAGCTGACATTCTGGCAGAAATCGAGGCTTTAAAAGAAGATCCAAACTACTCGACATTATTGTCCTACTTTGATTCATCTTCTGGCATCATACCTATTGTGAATAAACTGCCTTTTAACTTACAAGAAAAATGGACAACACGTGCCGCTAGCTACAAAGCTAGGCTAGATGTTCCATATCCACCATTTGCTTATTTTGTTGAATTCTTACAAGAAATGAGCAAGATTCGAAATGATCCAGGATTTCAATATGAAGGATCCCTTTGTAACCCTGGACCAGTCCAAAGCAGGAAAACCAAGAATACTTCAGTTCTGTCATGTAAAACTGAAGTGGAACCAAACAAATATGTAGCTCCCAAAGGACAAAAGTGCCCTATTCATAATACATACCACAGCCTTAAAGATTGTAAAACATTTCGCTCCAAACCATTATCTGAAAGGAAGAAGATTTTGAAAAACTCTGGATTGTGTTTTCGATGTTTGGACTCGAACCACTTAGCTCGTGACTGCAAAGCATTAGTGAAATGTGAAAACTGTGATAGTGATACTCATCATACTGCTCTCCATGATTACAGATTCAAACACTTGGATCAAGGCGGGGAGAAAACCAATCACGACAAGACAGAAGTGCAAAATAAGTGTCCAGTGATATGTTAAATAAACTTTAAGGGAAAATTGTGCTCTAAAACTATTCTGGTCAACGTCTATCCCACTGATCGTCCATCAGAGAAAAGGACTATTTATGCCATAATTGATGACCAAAGTAGCCGTATACTCGCTCGTTCACAGTTTTTTAATATGTTTGATATAAACAGTGACTCTGTGACTTACACATTATCATCATGCAATGGTTCTGTGACACTCACTGCAGGGTTCGAAATTCACTATATACATCTCGCAAAATGCGAGTTAGAATTCCCAAATTGCGAGTTAAAAATTAGGTAACTAGCAAAAACTTGCGAGTTGATTTTTTTTGCATTGAAACTGTAGCAAAATTATATAACGTGACAGAACACAATGCTTTTGATTTAAATCATTAATTTAAATAAAAGTCACACTGTAGTTGTATTTTGTGTATTGTACAGTAGTTACTTTTTCCTTAAGTTACATGGATTTAATTTATATAAATTTAACTTTATATGAAAATTGCGAGTAGTCTTACAAAATTGCGAGTTCACTCTCTTGGTACTCGCAATTATTTGCGAGTTGTAATTTTAGGGAGTTTCTAACCCTGCCACTGGCAGACGTGCATCAAACTTTATCTTAGAACCAGTATTACAAGGAAACCAAATTCATCTACAGACTGTGATAGAATGTGATGACATACTAGTACCCAACTGCAGAGAGGAAATTCCTACACCAGATGTGGCACGCGCATATCCTCCTCTAGCAGACTTAGCCACTCATATACCAGGCCCCAGGATCATGAAACAGACTTAGACTTAAGTCAAATTTGCAATCTCCTGTAAAAATTTTCTTGATTATTGAATTAATTTCTAAATTTTCAGATAACGAGACTTTTGTAAAACAATATTGAAAAATATATCAGTTTTGGTCTCCTTGACTTCTACAATAATCAGGTACAACATAAAGATTTTGACTTAAGCTTAAGATGTTTCATGATCCCGGGGCCAGATTTGAATGATGATGCAGACATTTTGTTACTCATTGGAAGAGATCATCCAGATGCTCATCATGTTTTAACACAGAAAACTGGACCTCATGGAGCTCCGTTTGCACAAAAACTATCTTTAGGATGGACAATTATAGGAGAGTGTTGTCTTGATAACGTACATGTACCTACTAACATTGTGACCAACAAAACACACATTCTACCATCAGGAAGAGGCTCGACATTTCCACCCTGTCCCTCTTACATGCATGTGTCTAAAGTTGCAGACAACCCATTTTATAGCGAGGAAATAACTACTACTGATATTTTTGTGAAAACGCCACAGGACAGTGAACCAGGCCTGTCAGTGAATGATAGAGAATTCCTAAAAAATTATGGACAATGAATGTTACAGAGATTAGAACGGAAACTGGACTGCTCCGCTTCCATTTAAGACCAGTAGAGAGAAACTTCCGAATAATCGTGAAGAAGCCATGAAAAGAACTTTGTCATTTCAAGCTTCTTGTAAAAAGAACAAATCGAAATTGAAACACGCAAGCTTGTTTATGGACAAAGTGTTTTCTAAAGGACATGCAGAATTAGGACGAGGAAGAGTGTTGGTTCCTACCAATATTTGGAGTCTACAATCCCAAAAAGCCAAACCAAATACGCATGGTTTTTGATTCGTCCGCAGCGTTTCAGGGACACTCCCTTAATTCTGTTTTACTAAGTGGTCCAGACTTAACCAACAGTCTACATGGGATTCTTTTACGATTCAGAAAAGAAAAAATAGCAGTGACAGGTGACATTGAACAAATGTTTCATTCATTCAAAATTCGAGAGGACCACCGAAACTATGTACGATTTATTTGGTTCACAGACAATGACCCAGCTTTACCTTTAATGGAATACCGTATGTGTGTTCACCTATTTGGATACTCACCTTCTCCAGCAGTAGCAACGTATTGTTTGAGACGATGTGTTCAGAACAGAGAGTGTGACCCGAGTTTGTGAATTCGTAGACAGAAACTTCTATGTAGATGATGGTCTCGCATCTTACCAAACGGATGAAGAGGAACTAGAAATCTTACAAAAAACACAGACTACACTCAAATAAGAAGGGAACTTGAGGCTTCATGAATTTGCATCAAACAGTTCATACATCATGGATGTACTACCTCCAGACGACAGGGCTAAAGATTTATCTGATGTGGATTTACACTTAAATGTAGTGCCATTACAACGAAATCTGGGACTTATGTGGTATGTAATGTCTGACACATTTACCTATCAGTTTGTACCTAGGGTCAGGGACCCTCCGCTAACAAAGAGAGGAATTCTTTCATGTTTGAACAGTCTGTATGACCCACTCGGATTTATAGCCCCTGTGATTCTACAAGGCAGATTCTTATTTCGTGAAGTGATAAACTTACCTGTTGGATGGGATTTCTAGAACTATTGTTCCAACTTCCCTGGGAGAAAGTAATCGAAAAGAGATACACTTATTCTCAGATGCTTCAGAGAAAGCCGTTTGTGCAGTGGCTTACTTACGTGTGATAACGATTGACAATACACGCATACAGGTTGGATTTTTGATTGGAAAGTCAAAACTTTCACCCCAACATGGTCACACAATCCCCAGACTTGAGTTGTGTGCAGCAGTTTTGTGTACAGAACTTGCAGCATTTGTGTTGAAACACATAGACACCACTATCCATGAAGTGAAGTTCTATACAGATAGTCGTATAGTCCTTGGATACATCTATAACCAAACCAAACGTTTCCATACTTACGTCACTAACCGAGTACAGCGTATCCGTCAGCACTCAACTCCAGAGCAGTGGAACTATATTTCATCTGAGGCAAATCCTGCGGACATCGGGAGCAGAGGAATTTTAGCGAATGAACTACCACACAGCATGTGGCTTCAAGGACCTGTTTGTTTACAACAACAGAGTTATCTATTGGAAAAAGAGGATTTTCCACTTATTGACCCAGAAAAAGACAATGAAATTAGAAACATTAACATCACAGAAAACGTGTTTAAACACCCATGAAGTGTACAAGAGGATAGATAGATTTTCCTCATGGACATCTTTAGTCAGAGCAATTACTGTTCTCCGAAAAGTTGTGATAAAGAAACTTGGTTTACCATTGTTGGACCCTGTACATATGAACCGTGAACAGAACTGTTCTTAGTGAAACTCTGTCAAAATGAAACATTTTCTGCGCAAATCACAAACTTGGCCAATGACAAACCAGTATCTAAAGATAGCTCGTTACGCTACCTGGATCCTTACCTTCATGATGGAATCATACGACTAGGAGGAAGAATTCGTACTGGAGATGCTCTGTCTGATGAACATGGCCCAATCATTATCCACGGGAAAACTTACCTAGATCGTCTTCTTGTTCTACACAGTCATGAAGTTGTGAAGCATCAGGTAAGACATTTAACTGAGGGAGTTGTTCGTTCATCCGGATATTGGGTGATTGGTGGAAAGAGATTAATATTATCTATCATACATTCATGTGTTACCTGCAGAAAACTCCGAGGTAAACTGGAGCATCAGAAGATTGGAAATCTTCCAGAATGCCGCACAAAACCGTCACCTCCATTTACCTATGTGGGCGTGGACGCATTCGGACCATGGGAGATCACTACACGCAAAACCAGAGGAGGTTCAGCTAACAGCAAACGCTGGGCTATCTTATTCACCTGTCTGACATGTCGAGCCATACATATAGAGTTAGTGGAAGATATGTCATCACCTACATTTATCAACGCTCTCAGGCGTTTCATAGCGGTAAGAGGAAAAGTTACAGAATTTCGTTCGGACAGAGGTACGAACTTTGTCGGCAGTACAGACGCACTAGGAATCACAGCAGTTAACATAGAAAGTTCGCCAGTGAAGAAGTTTCTTACAGACAGTGGATGCTCTTGGATCTTCAACCCACCCCACTCTTCCCACATGGGAGGGGTGTGGGAGAGGATGATTGACATCGCCCGACAAATCTTGGATTCTATGTTTGTAAAGGAAACAAATAAAAACCTTACTCATGATGTGTTAAACACTCTCATGGCAGAAGTTAATGCAATCATAAATAGTCGACCCATAGTACCTGTATCAACTGACCCATTTCAACCCTCTGTGCTATCTCCATATACCCTGTTAACACAGAAGACCGGACTGGATGTTGGACCATTTGAGCCATTTGATGTCAAGGATATGTACAAATCCAATTGGAAATACATACAGATCTTATCCGACCAATTCTGGAGGAAGTGGCGCTCACAATATCTTCAGTTATTACAGTCCAGACACAAGTGGGTTGACCCTCGAAACAATCTTACTGAAGGTGATGTCGTACTCTTGAAAGATCAAGACTCTGTCAGGAACGAATGGCCGATGGGTATTGTTGTACGTGTCTTTCCAGGTGAAGATGGGAAAGTGCGCAAAATCTAATTACGTGTGGTGAAAAATGGTCGTGTCGTCAACTATGTTGGACCAGTTACAGAAGTGGTTTTACTGTTTTCACCGTAGAAACTGTTTGCGATGTTGGACATCACAGGCGGGGAATGTGCCGTTACACGGCTTATATGTGTTTGTAAACTGTTCTGTGTTATTCCGTATTTGTCCGTGTGAACTGTTTTAGTCTACCGTTTATATTCGTATACTATTTGTGTTACAATTCAGTGTTTCTCGTGCATTCAACAACGCAACTGGCGCCTCTGCCGCACCACCGTTTTACCATCATGTTTTAAGACTTTAGAGCCACAATAGAGTGAGTTAATTATGCTCAATCAATTTACTGTACATTTCTTTATATAAATTCAGTAATGAAATATTTCTTTGTGTAAATTTAACTTTAAACTTGCAAAATTCAGTGTCAATGTCAGTGATGTGTATTCAGTCTTGTTTTGTAGCCTTTATCGTAATATCATCTATATGTCATCCTAAATAAAATTCTGAAATGATGATTAAGGCGTCATATGTAGTCTACTTGTGTGTTATATTGAAATCAGATCAAAACTTTATGAGGAGTAGCGTTTTCAAAGTATTTCACGAATTTATATTCTTAATAACCATGGCAACACCGTTCATCAAAAACTGATGCACTGTATTATGTATCTTAGTTTAGTCTACTTGTATGCCAAGTTATATTGAATTCAGACCAAAACTGTATGAGGAGTAGCGTTTTTAAGGAATTTCACAGAAATTCCTATTTACAGTAACCATGGCAACACCATTCAGCAAAATCCAAAACGGATTGACTGAATTTGTCGAGAATTTTTCACTGATATGGAGACTACACCACTTGCCTATAGAGGGCTGCAAATTTTGACCAATACTCGGCACTGAGGGCCATTGAGCAGTGAGGGATCTTTTTCGTGCCAGCACCTACTGCAACACGGGACCTCGGTTTATACGGTCTCATCCGTAAGACTGGTTTCCACGTCCCACAGTGGGATTCGAACCAGCGTAAGGATCGACTCTTCACTGCGCGACTCTAGAGCGAACGCTCTAACCACTGCGCCACGCGGGCGACTAGTTACTGATTAAATTCTGGTTTTAATACCTTAAAGTTAGGTCAGAAAGCTTCATTGAGCACTTGCCTATTTCAGAATATTGATCATAATTTTTATATAAAGACAAATTCTAATGATTAGTCAGTATAAAGATTAAAGAAACAAGGCGACCCAGAATTGCAAACAACCAAATTTGACACCAAGAATTTATGAAAACAATAATTTCCAAAACCCAGGTTTGCTGACAATAGATCGAGAATTCCTGTCACCAGTAAATCCGGACGATGCAATTCCTGACACTCAGGATTCCTGGCAAGTGAGTTAGTGACAATCTACCATATATAATTTATCAATTGTCAATTCCAATATACATGTACATACATTTATTTCAGATTCAGCACTCTATAAGAATTATTCCCCGTTTTTGTTTTGGAAACTTTACTTTAGTTATCTCCCACCTATAACGAGATCCAACCAAATTATTATTATGTTCCCCAAACGATGTTTGGGAACATATTGTTTTTACTCTGTGTCTTATTAGGTCTTCCGTTTTCAACGGAAGACCTATAGTGATTCTACTGTTTCTTATTATTATTATTATTAAGGTCTTCCGTCTTCACGGAAGACCTTATAGTGATTCTACTGTTTCTTCTTCTTATTATTAGGGTCTTCCGTCTTCAGCGGAAGACCCTTCTATTATTCTATTGTTTCTTTTTCACTTTTATTATTATTAAGGTCTTCCGTTTCCAACGGAAGACCTTATTGTTTTCGTTCTGTTTCTTTTTCCCTATTATTATTATTTTTCTTATTATTATTCTTACCGATTTTGTGCACGCGAGTTCTCGTAAACGACTTGGCCGATTTTCATGAAACTTTAAGATCTGATAGGTATTGATCTGAACCTTATTGGAAATTTTTTTCATTGATGACGTCACTTCCTATCTTGAGCTATTAAGGATTTTCTGATTTTCAGAGGGTCGACTTGTCCTGGAAACTCCTCCTAAACGACTTAAGATATTGAGTTAAGATTTTCAGTGAAGATAGAGGAAAGATTATAGATGTGCCATTTGGCATCTGTATTTTTCCAGCTTAAAAGGCGTCGAAGCTCGCCTGGGCTCGAAAAATAAGCTCACAAGCATCTCGCAAAATTTGTCACTTTTTCCTTTATATCTTTTTACCTGCAAATATTTTGTTAAAACATGTATAACAAAAGACATGCAAAATAATAATACCTTTCATTTGATATCAAGAAAAAGGGGTTGACCCATCAAATTAGGGGCTCAGAGGGGCCCAAAGACTTTCAAGTATAACTCTTGAACGATCAATATTTTGTTATAAGTTACTGAAACAAAAATGTTTATCTTAACGATTTCGAAATATATGTTATAAAATTTTGACCATATATTGCATAATAAAGGGCCAAAAGGGGCCAGAATACCAGATCCTTGACGCTTTATATCTCAAAAAGGGGGAATATTTTGATAAGCAATACTGAACAAAAGATGTTCAGAATAATGTTCTAAACAATATTCACCCTTTCAATTTTTGTCAAACGGCCCCATTAAGGACTTGGAGGGGTGGCCCCTAAATGTTTCCATTCGGCATATCTCCACAACGAAAAGAAATCTCTGAATAGGTATTGAACAAAAAGTCTTTAAAATTACAAGACCTTTCATTTGATATCAAGAACAAGGGGCTGACCTCTCAAATTAGGGGCTCAGAGGGGCCCAATGTCCTTCATCTATAACTCGTTAACTATCAATATTTTATTATCAATTACTGAAGCATATTGCGCCAAGGATTAACGATTTGCCACTTTATATTATACAATTAAGATCATATATTGCGTAATAAGGGGTCAAAAGGGGCCAGAATGCTAAATCTTTGACGCTTTATATCTCAAAAAGGGGGAATATTTTGATAAGCAATACTGAACAAAAGATGGTCAGATTAAGGTTCTAAACAATATTCACCCTTTCAATTTTTGTCAAACGGCCCCATTAAGGACTTGGGGGGGTGGCCCCTAAATATTTCCATTCGGCATATCTCCACAACGAAAAGAAATCTCTGAATAGGTATTGAACAAAAAGTCTTCAAAATTACAAGACCTTTCATTTGATATCAAGAAAAAGGGGTTGACCCCTCAAATTAGGGGCTCAGAGGGGCCGAAAGTCTTTCAAGTATAACTCTTGAACGATCAATATTTTGTTATAAGTTACTGAAACAAAAATGTTTATCTTAACGATTTGGAAATATATGTTATAAAATTTTGATCCTATATTGCATAATAAAGGGCCAAAAGGGCCCAGAATACCAGATCTTTGACGCTTTATATCTCAAAAAGGGGGAATATTTTGAAGCAATACTGAACAAAAGATGGTCAGATTAAGGTTCTAAACAATATTCACCCTTTCAATTTTTGTCAAACGGCCCCATTAAGGACTTGGAGGGTTGGCCCCTAAATATTTCTATTCTACATATCTCGAAAAGGAGAAGAAACTTCTGAATAGCTGTTGAGCAAAAAATGTTTAAAATCACAAGTCTTTTTATTTAATATCAAATAAAAGGGGCTAACCCTTCAAATTAGGGCCTCAGAGGGGCCAAAAGAATAATATGTAACTCTTCAATATGCAACAATATGTTGTAAAACTTTGATTCTCTATTGCGTAAGTAGGGGCCATAAGTGGTCAGAATGTTAAATCCTTTACGCTTCATATCTCGAAAAGGGGAAACATTTTGAAAAGCAATATTGAACGAAAGATGTTCAAGATTATATTATATAAATCAAAAGAATGAAATCTAAGGAGGGAAATCTTTATATCATTATCTTTTAACGAAAACTTAATTAAAATCAGATCTCATCTCATCGAAAAATCGGACGGAAGACCTACTCGTTGCTTGCAACGAGATCTCATCTAGTTATTATTATTATTCTTTTTTTTTCTTTACAATTTTTGTGCAGAAGATTTCTCGGAGTTGGCTCGATCGATTTACTTGAAAATTTCAGGGAAGATGTATCTTTGTCTGAACCTTATACTTTTTTTTCATTTTTTTGAAATTCACTTCCGGTCGGAAGTTATCGCCCTTTAATCAAAATTCAGAGGACCTCCTTGTCTGCAATGGAACTCAAAAACGATTAAAGCTAGAGGGCTGAAATTTTCAGCGATGATAGAGGACATGTTGCCATTGATCACCTGGGTTTTCAAATCTTCCGGAAGTGCCTAGTATGGAAGCTCGGTAGGGGTCAAAATTTAGGACACGAATCATGAGTGAATTTTAGAGACATTTCTTACGATAACTTTTTAACTATGAGTATTTTGTTAAACCATATTGAACAGAAATTGTGTAGAATTACAAGATCTTTTATATGATATCAAAGAAAAAGGACTGACTCATCACATTAGGGGCTGAGAAGGGCCGAAAGTCTTTAATCTATAACTCTTTAACGATCAATATTTTGTAATGCATTACTGAAGCAAAAATGTTTATCTCAACAATGTACGACTATATATTGTGATATTCACATCATATGTTACATAATTAGGGGCCATAAGGGGCCAGAATGCTAAATCTTTGACGCTTCATATCTCAAAAGTGGGAAATATTTTGATAAGCAATATTGAACAAAAGATGTCCAAAATAATGTCCTAACAAGATGCAACCTTTCATTTTTTGCTAAACGTCCCCATTAAGGAGTTGAAGGGCCGGCCCCTAAATACTTCTTTTGCAAATATCTCAGAAACGAAAAAGAATTTCTGACTAGTTGTTGAACAAAAAGTGTAAAAAAAAATCATAAGAGCTTTAAGGTAATATCAAGGAAAAGGGTCTGACCCCTTATATAAGGGGCCGAGAGGCGCCGAAAGTATACAATCAATAACTCTTTAATGATCAATATTTTGTAATATATTACTGAAGCGAAATAGTTCTTCTTCACAC